CTAGCAGTGAAGTGGCGTTCTAAACCTTGCGCTATGTCTTCTAGAGAGGTGTTCATTTCTACCGGCGTCAAGACACATGACTGCAACGTTAAAGGTACTGGCAGTACTTTTCTTGTCCGAAGATAAGCGAACAAAGCACGCTTATTTTTGATTTAGAAAGATGATCAAAATGTCTACTGTCGTATTCTTCTTTCGCGCGGTTTACGGTACGCTTAAATACGCCAGCAAGGAAATGATAGTTCTTCCAGTTTGTTGGGCTCTGATTAAGAAGAAGTTTTTTCCAAGCGGCTTTTCGTCTTCTATAATCGCGCGTACTCTCATCGTTCCACCAACGAGAGGAGGATCGTTTATTGGATGGAATAGAAAATTCTGAATTTTTTCTAGATCCCTCCAGCATTGAACCAATCGTAGATGCAATCTCCTTGGTACTGGCATTTCCAAGCTTGGAAATGGCAGAACGGAGGCAGGATTGAAATTTGCTATGGTTGATGTATGTGAGTTTTGGCTGATCTAAAGTTATTGTTGGACAAGTAATGTCAAGAACTACAGGAAGATGGTCACTGTTAGTTGCCGAATCCAGAACAGCCCATGACGAAACCTTGATTGCATTGGAGCAAAACGTTAAATCCAATACTGAGCCAGTTTGACCTCAGACAAATGTTACATGACCTTTATTCAGGCAGGGGAGGTTGTGATCAATAGTCCATTCCCACAGTCGCCTACCACAAGAATCTGTCCTTATACCCCAAGACAAATGATGTGAATTAATGTCTCCTGTGAGCACAATTTCCTTTCTACATGCTACCAAAACGCTGTCAAGATAACGCGTGCTTTGCACACCGGAGGGGAAGTAACAATTTACAATTGAAAAGGGGTGGTATCCGGGGAGACACAAGTCTAATGCTAATATTTCACAATCCAAGTCTAATATTCTGAAAGAAATTTTCGCCCTATGGCATAATTTACTTGATACAAGGATCAGTAAACCACCACCACTACGTGATGGGCGATCTAATCGAAAAGAACGAAAACCTGCAAGATGGAAATTTTTATCTGGTGTGAGCCAAGTATCTTGGAGAATTACAATAACAAGATTAAAATTATCGCAAAAGTAATGTAAGTTGGTTGAGGCGGAGAATATAGAACGGCAGTGCCACTGTAGTACCCTCAACTGACCTATGGTGTTGAGCGCACCACAGAGGCGCATGACGCGCCCTTGTTAGCATCTTCACGCGAGATAGCTGATTCATTCCGTTTAGATTTGGACTTGAGATCGGTGAAGATAGGGGATCTGGTACGTTTATTAGTTCGTATATCGAGTTCCATATCTGTAGCAGTACTTGTGCTCGGCTGAGGTGAATGTTGGTCCAAGTGCACCTGTGTTCCTGACTGCTTAGCCTTGCCTGCAGATGCAGAAAGTTCGTCCAACACTACATTGCGTAGCTGTGTGGCATCGCTGGTAATGTCTAATACTGCAGGTTCTGTACTAGTCTGTACTGTTTGTCCAATCTGACTTGAGAGAATTTGCACTAAACAGTCGGAAAGGTTAGATATGAGTTTATCCATTGCCTTACTCACTGCCTTTTCCACAGCAGTTTCAATAGCCTGCGATAGGTTTGAGTCTATACTGGAAGTGCAGTGCGCTGTAATACCAGAGTATCCAAAAGCCCTGTCTCTAACTATGTCAATGGCTTCCCTTCGAGAACAGCGGCGGCGGTCAATAACTTCTAGGATTCGAACCTCCCGGGAACGAGCGGAACAGTCAGAGTTGTCGGCGCAGTGACTTCCCCCATAGAGACAACACTTTTTCGCTGTTGCAGTACACTTGCTTGAAGGATGGCTCTCTCCGCAGGTGCTACAACGAACGTTAGATTTACATCCTCCCGCACTGTGGCCGAAACACCAGCAGTTCTTGCACTGAATTGAACGAGAAGCGAGGGGTTCTACTCGGAAGATCAGTGGCCATAATTTTATTTTTGACGGGCATTTTGTGCCCACAATTGTCGCGATGACAGATTCAGTTGGTACCTTCTCTTTGTCGACTAGGCAATTGCACCGGTAAATTGAAATTACGCCTGCTCCAGAGAGCCTGTCTAGGGTCTCAGCTGGACTCAGCTTGGAGTCGACTCCCCGTACAAGGCCTTTGGTACATGCAATGTGAGGCGGAATAAAAGCACTCACTGGGGTAGCAGCAAAGGAGGTGCATTTGAGAAGATCCTGCACGCAGGTCTGATCCGGCGACCTACACACGATACCTCCTCGCCCAAATGGGCGCACATCTGTGATGGTCTGGACATGGTTTGAAGTTGTCTTAAGTTCCTTTTGAACCGTCTGAGGGTTTGTAAGTCTGATGAAGCCTCCATTTGTAGGTACCAGTGAAACGGGAATGCTGTCAATACCACTGCGGAAAAAGGAGTCTAGCGGTAATTCATTAGACGGCAGGGACGCTGATCAGGCGGATCGCGCCTGGCCAGGAGAAGTAGTCGACATGAGTACTAGAGATATGGTTAGACTCAGAAACAGATAAACTATAGAATTGGGCTCAAAGACAAAAAGTTAAAACCACTCAATCCTCAGCCAAGAACACCCCAGCAGGTTGAGCACGGGCAAGCGTTACGTGGCTCTTCGTTACGTGTAGTGGTTCGTGTTGAAGATAAACATGAGCTGGACAAGCACGTGCATCTGCAATAGTGCCCCATGAAGAAATGCATCGAGGTACTCCCAGGCAAATTCTTAGGGCACGCGCCTGAGCTCCCTCGAGTGTACGTACAGCCGATGTGCGAGCACGGGAGAGAACAGGAGCACTGTAGCGAAGGTATCCAATAAAAAGTGCCTGGTACAGCTGCAGAAGAGATGATTTCGGTGGTCCCCATGATTTTCCAGACATATGACAAATGACCTGGACAAAGCTGTCTAGTTTTTTTTCTTAGTGTTGAGATGTGCTTCGACCAAGACAAATCACGATCGATGATAACCCTGAGGAACTTTTGATGAGTTACCGAAGGTATTATGTTCCTATCGATCACTATGGGGTACCAAGCCATGAATTTTCTCGCAAATGGCAGGGTTGTACTTTTCGTTGGTAACAGTTGTAGTCCGCAGGTATTGAGGTATGCAGATGTTGTCGATACCGCACGTTGTAGTTTCTTTTGCACTTGCAAACGTCTTAGACTCGTGGTCCTAATGCAAATGTCATCTGCGTACACGGACACCGAGATTTTGTATCTACTTTAACGAGCTTTTTAACGAGGCCAACAAGTACGATATTAAATAATGTTGGGCTCAGGACTCCACCTTGAGGTACGCCACGATAGACGGGATGCTTAGTTGTGTCACCATCAGCAGTAGACATTAATATGGTTCGTTCTTGAAGATAGCTTGCTATTCATTGATGCATGCGGCCACCAATGTCATAGTCTTCAAGAGAATTTAGGATGGCGTCATGCAGAACATTGTCGAATGCACCTTTGATATCAAGAAATACTGCAGCCGTTAATCGGTGGCGTCGTTTCCGATCTTTTCGATCAACGGTTGTTACCAAATCAATCACACTTTCAATTGATGACCTTCCCTTTCGGAAGGCAGTCATGGTGTCTGGGTATACTCTTCGCTTCTCTAGGAACCATGCCAACCACATCAGACCCATTCGTTTTATGCGTTTTCTTACAGAACTTGCTAGTGGCACAGGTCTCTAGGATAGCATGTCATGGGGAAACTTGCCAGGTTTTAGCAGTGCCATGATTTTGCTAGTTTTCCAGCGTGCTGGTACAGTTCCAGATGCCCAAGAAGGGTTGTACAAAAACAGCAGTTGTTTGGTTACCCGAGGATTAAAGGGGCACAGGGTAGCGTAGGCGATTCCATCAGGCCGAGGTGCACTAGAGCATTGCGAAGTGAACATAGCCGCACGAAGCTACATCCAACTCAGCCACTGCAGTGGCTAAAGCTGCCGAAAAAAAACACCCAACGCCATAATCTCGGGGCAATGTTAATTGGGGTTGCAGTGGGGGCGAACAACCTCGACAGCGATGTAACAACGCTTGCGTATCTACTGACATGACAGAGCAAGCTGAAGTCAAGCGTTTTCATGCTGACTCATGTCATATTTTAACGTAAAATAAGCGATGAAAGCGCATCATACACAAAAGTATTCGCCACCTACGAGAGTCTGAATACATAACAAGTGCGGCCTAGCCGTTTTGATCAGATCTCGCTGTTCCTGAATGAGTGATGCAACCCCCCCCTACTCGCCACCATCAGCACCCTCCATGGTCCTTCATCCGAGAAAGCTGGCTGGTGCGTGTTTTCTGTGCTTGAGCAGCACCCGTTTAGAGCCTTCACTAGCTTTCACACGCACCTAAGCCATAAAATGCGTGGTGTGATGTTATCGACTTTGCCTTAACATGGAACATGACAGTGACAGCAGAAGCAAGAACGCACCTCAAGTGTGCAAATAATTACTGTGTGCACATAAGTTACTGTACATGAACAAGGGCACTGCTGATATATTCGTGATATATTAGTGAAACTTGCAACGCTAGCAAGCTCATTGGCAATGCAATATATCTTACTAATATTTTTACCCCCCTAAATGGTCTAGTACCTTCTTATTTTTCTTCGTTCATGACTGCGACAAACAAGTTGACCGCACTGGTTATTAGAAAAATCGTTCTTTTTCCATTGCATCGAGCTTACGTTTTCTCACATGCTAACGATGCCACAGCAAGACCATTTTTAACCATAGAACGTAAACAAGCTTTCAATTCTGCGTTGTCTTTGCCATGTCATCCTCTTTCTTAAATAAAGAGTCTAAACTATTTCTTTTCACACAATAGGTTATGGTGTTAGTAATTGAACAATGCGAATGTAACCCCTTTTCTCTTGGTAATTGTCAAAGCTTTACGTGGTCTAGTCGTAGGTAGATGGAGATGCAACTTCAGTATATAAAAGACATCGGTGTCTGCAATTCCTCCACCAGTTGCTCCTAGCTGGAAGTTGCAGCCATGGCCCGCGTCTTGGTACTGTGCACCTTCGCCGCTGTGGTGGCCTGCGCCATGGCCTCCTCCCAGCAGAGCGTATCAGTTTCTTCAAGACCATCACAGGTCACAGGAGGTGAGCATGATTAGCTAGTCATGTTTTTAGAAGTATGTTCAATTATGAAAGTGTAAAGCCATTCACGGGCGACTCTTCTACGCTATGTGAGGCAGAATAAGTGTGCCATTTTTACTTTGTCATGTAAATAAGCAGCGCGTTATTTTGGCATACCTGTACGACGAAAGTTTGGTTCACTTTCTGTGAAAATGGCACTTTATCTTGAAATTTTTGCGCGAGCACACAGGGACACTTTATCAATGGTTGACTGCTTATATAAAGAAGTGCTAACACTCAGAAAACTAATTTTCAAGATAGGAAATTGCTTTCCTACACATTTACAACTCGAATTTTTGGTGCAGGTCAACAGAGTTCCAATCTTAAGCGGTCTTCCTAGATAGTTCTCGTTCAAAAATGTGAAGCGCAGTATAGTGTGAAAATACCGTTCGTTTGAAGATGTTGGGAAGTTTTTTTTTCAACTGTAGTTTCATATGGGGTAGTACTGTGCAAAACCGCATATATATCCTTGAAAGGGTTGTGATTTGCGAGAAGTTGTGAATGATAGAAGTATTTTTTTAGATTAGAGATACTGCCATAACAAGGGGAGAGTGGAGTAATGCACGAAAAATGTAGCAAATTTCAACCACCAAACAGACTTTGGTGAAGTCATGAACTCATGACGCCAATAAACAGGGGCCAGTATGAGTCTAGAAAAAAGAAAATTCACAGCTTTTCTGCAAAGTCGAAGCAATGAGCGCGATAGCAAGAATTCGTAAGGTCACACGCAGAATAGAAAGCAGATCGAAACGTGCCCCGCGTTTCTCGCGCACAAATTACGCACGAAACGTACTCACAGGTACGGATGCACACGAGTAAGCACCTCATTTGTTATTTCGCCGTGTCTGAAAAGCGTGTGCTTTCGCCAACGGAGACTGCAATGATTGTAGTGACCTGTGTGCGCCCGCTAACTGCAGCAGAATCGTTCCACGTAAAGCCCGAGGCCAGCCAAGGCGTACGATCATCCCGTCCTCGCCACCGTGAAACAAGGGCGCGCGAGGGAGCGTCGCTCCCCTTCTCTCATCCGGGCAAAGTACACGTAGGAGGTTAGAGCAGGCGCCGCTGTGCGATGTAGCGACGTGCACTCATCGCGCCATCTTTCTGGTAATGCCAAAAGCACAGTACCGGTAGGTAGTAGGTATAAATAGCTTGCATTTTGAATGGTAAACAATGTTCTGCAGGGTGGTTCAGTGGTAGGCGCCTCGCTCTCATGACGCAGAAGTACCACGTTCGATTCTGCGCGCAGAAGTGTTTTTTTCAAGAATTTTTGTTTCTTGCGTTTTGGTATACATAGATACGTATACATATATGGTGCATGGCATCGACGCCGACATCTACGCCGACGCCGGCGGCAAAATCCAACCGAGAGTGACCATATGTTTGCTATCGCAATAAAACATTTCAAAGCACATGCACACTTTCGAAAGCAACATAAAGCAAGCACTGATGAGGTTGTAAATTAAATTCCAGGCCCATTTGACCGTGTCTGGGCAGGAATATTTGAAGAATTACTTTCAACTCGCTTTTGATAAGTTGATGTGAGCTAGAACCGGCACTTAATTATCTTGACCAGAACACAGCCACAATAGATATGAATGAAATGGCAGTTCAGTGGCAACGGCATGTCTTGCTTGATTTTCCCAGTGGCATCGCAACCTATCAAACGCGAAGCCATGCTAACGTGCCCAAGATAATATCGGCTCACGTATTTCACATTCGTAGATATTTTTGTTACTACAGTTGATGAAATAAGAGAAAAATTTTACTTCATATTTATTCAGGTGCACAACTAAATAAACAGCCAGAAAGAGGATAATACACCACAGAAGTCTGCTTTTTGGAAAGTATCGAGTTTACTTTTGGAAAGCGAACATTCCACGCAGTACATTTTTATTATAGTTTGAAGACACACTGAAGGCGGCAAAATAATTAAGTTAGAAATTATACGATTCTAATTAGGAAGCAAATGATATACGCACAGAAGACATTTGAGATATGTAAAATCAATTAGTTAAGGAGCAGCCCAGCATGGCTTAAGACAAGAATGCAAAAAGATGTCGTCAACTCAAGCTGCAGCTAAAGACGAGGCTCGTTACGCGCACGCACACACGCACACACGCACGCACGCACACACACACACATACACGTACACACACACACAGACACACACACACACACGTACACACACGCACACACACACACACGCACACGCACACACACACGCACACGCTCACACACGCACACACACACACACACACGCACACGCACACACACACGCACACGCACACACGCACACACACACGCACACACGTACACGCACACGCACACACGCACAGTGTAAGAAAGCAAAGTCGGCGCTGCTGCAATGGCACTGCACAGGGTCTGCAATGCGACACCATTGTGCAAGAAGATAAGAAGGTTCTCCGAGACAAGCGCAGTAATGTTACGTCATGGCTAACTTAGCAAAACGCTCACATGGCATCTTTATTGAAGACGCTCACGATGAATCCCGCACCGAACGCGCTACAAGGAGCGCTTCCAAAGCTGTCGGACGATGATGAAGAGAAGAAATGTCACTATCCTAATGGTTATTAATTTTTGAACTCAACCAGATTTGAGAAATACGCGGGCAAGACACACTGAAGAAACGTGCCGATGCCGTTTATCCTTCAGGCACTGTTCCGGCATTTTTATCTTGATGCGCCACGTGCCCCGTTCTCGCCGGGATTCAGATAATGCCTGCTGCAAGATCTGTGGTTGCCAGCTGACGTGACATCGCTACGTGAACGAGTTCGACCACCGCCACATAGCCAACGTCGCGCCCCAGAATCCTAGGAAGCGACGTGAGGAAAGTCATAGTGCAACGGAGATTTGCAGCGACCACCCCGACAAAGCTTGTGCCAGGCCCCCAAAAGTGCAGCAGCTCGGCTAGAAAAGTTACGGCAACCACAAGTCCGACCACCACGGTACAATAAACGGCACCCTCCGCAGAAATCCCTGCAAGAATATGCATTCAAGTTGCAGCGTTTGGAAGGTCGACCACCCGAGGCATCGTTTACACATCATCGAACCAAGTCGCTGTATGACCGTGCCCGACCGACGCACAACAACCAATGCCGGTCTTTAGAAGTGAATGTGCAGCTATCTTTGCAATGTCGCAGCGTGGCCGTGTGTAATGAAGCAAGGTCGGCGCTGCTGCACTGCAGCACGAGCTCGGCTTGTGAAAAGAAGACGAGAATGAAGTTAAAGAACAGCCGGCCCAGCAAACAAGTGCTGAGTCTGGGTCTCCTTCATTACAATATATATATATATATATATATATATATATATATATATATATATATATATATATATATATATATATATATATATATATGGGGAGGGGGATCGTGCCAGAGCAGACAATAAAAAAATGAGATGCCACTATGATTTCTATTCCTATGTTGGGCACGCGTGCACTTACGCACGCTGTTTTAGTGGACAAAATGGATTCATGATGCCAAAAGGTACATATACATACACCGGGTGTTCATCCGCAGTTAACTCTAACAAGATCATGAGTTATTTTTGTTTTTTTATTATTTCGCAGTGTTTACATCAATTCACGTATGGTTAGACGAGGGTGAAACGGTAATCATTTTGTTTCACCGGGTAAAGCAGTAGGGACGCTGGCCAAACCAGAACTAATTTTGCTGTTTGCATATATTCTTGCAGGTAGTGCAGGAAGCCACGTTGGAACCTGGGGAGGCTGGGGTGGCCACTACCCAGGAGGCTATTGGGGTGGTTACTATCCAGGAGGCTACTGGGGTGGTTACTACCCAGGAGGCTACTGGGGTGGTTACTACCCAGGTCATTGGGGTGGCAACTGGGGAGGCAACGGCCGGGGTCAGCTACAGCAGCAACAGCAGAGGCTGTAACTTCATCGTCCGAAGAAAGCCAGTCTACCATCAAGAACTACTCGGTAATAAAAAAGCCTTTCAAGTTACTCTGGCTGCAAAACATTTTCATGGTCCAGAATGAGGCTTCTAACTGAGATGGCTCTTGAGCAGCAGCGCATTCTTTTCAAATACCAGGCATTCGTTAGTAAAACCAAGAAAACTTGAGCATATCAATCAATCAATCAATCAATCAATCAATCAATCAATCAATCAATCAATCAATCAATCAATCAATCAATCAATCAATCAATCAATCAATCAATCAACCTGTCTGTCTGTCTGTCTGTCTGTCTGTCTGTCTGTCTGTCTGTCTGTCTAGTCACCTACGTCTGGGGGCCCCCGTAATTGCTGCCTTATCGTAGAGTAGAGTGAAATCCCTACGGGAGGGTAAAAGGGTTCGACAAATATGAATGCCTGGTCATCGCGTGAATATCACAAAAATAATGGGACGCACGTCGTAAAACTATTTCCTCCTGACACAAGGACATACCCGCATACTCCTTGCCATGATATGGGGGTTTGCGGCGAAGGTGGTTGACAACATATATCTACTAAGCAACGTCGAAAAGCAGTTTAAAAAAGATTGCGTTAGGAGATACCGACATCGGAACGCTGACTCGACAAATGTGACGAATTAAAATTGAAGCCCCAGCAGAAATCGTACCCAAGTGATTTGCGTTGCAGTGGGGAATTCTGCCACAGAGTCACTCCCGGTGTTGAAACTGCTGTGGAAAAAAAATCTTTTGCACGCGTAATGTGGATAGGAAATTAGTGTGGACGCAGTGATGAGAATTTAACCTTCATATAAAGCAACAAATATTACATATGTGCTCATAAGGACCAGGCGTTACGTCTGTTTAACATGATTTCTAATTCGCATGTCAGGCCTGCTTTCACAGCAGCCTCAGAAATACTGCATTTGTAATCTTTGGTTCAGTGAGCTACATAAAAATGTTGCACCTGCTCAGGAGTAATAGGCCGCCAAAAGTTACATATTATATTTACATCATACCAGAATAAAGTTCCGTTTGTTTTCGTAATACTGAGGTCTTTAGTCTGAAACTATTCCTAATGTTACGTGAGACAAAAAGGTACCCTTAAGGGGACCGGCTAGGGGGCGCTTCTAGTAGGCCTACAATGTTGAATAAAACTACGCTCATGCTATCTTGTCATGCCGGCTTTCGTTGCGACGTAACCACGCCCGTATGGTAATGCCAGGAACAAAAACTTGCGGCAGCTTTGCCCTGGTGATGCTAAGTCTGAAAGAAGTATGGTCCTCAACAGCCTTTTCGTTCTTCGACTTCTCCTTCGCACGCTTCAGCGGTTTCCCCTTTGTGTGGTGACCGTGGTGCCACAAGCAAGCGTAGTCAATCGGCCTTGTGTTCCTCACTCTAACGGTCCACAATTATGTGATTTCTGCGCTGCGCTGCATCCTGGATATATAAATCCGTGTTCGTTGACGAGTGGCCTGAAGGGCTGCTTGTTCGCCTTGTCCGGATGTTGACGAAACCGGACGCAGCGCCTTTTTGAGCGGCAGCTGTGGATAACGTTGCATGCCTTCCCACTCGCCTCGTAGGTGAAGCTTCTTTTGCAAGCCTATCCCCACGGCTGGTAAATCTCCATCGCGACTGCTAAGGTCAATGATAAATTATTAAACAAAACAAACGCTTGTGGTTGTTATTGTAACTAGTAGTGTGAGCAGAACAAAAAAAGTCATCCCAGCCTGAAGAGCATCGTGTAATAAATACACACAGGCCCTGTGCCAAGGTTGGCTAAAGTTAATAGACCTCTAGTGGGGTACATCACAGCGTTACGTCACCGGTGCACGTGCAAGGTGGTGGTTAGCAAAACAGTCTAGCCGGTGGCTGGGTGTGGTGCAGTCACTTGGTGCTTGGGGCAAGTTTTATTGCGATACAATTATATGGACACTTTCGGCTGGAATTTGCCGCTAGCATCGGCGTCGATGTCATGCATCGTACACACAACACACCACACACACACAACACACACACACACATATATATATATATATATTATATATATATATATATATAGTATATATATATATATATTTATATTATGAAAAGGCATGAAAGAAAAAAAATTAGAAAAAGCACTCCAGCACTCGGAATCGAACGTGGGACCTCTGCGTCGTAAAAGTGAAGTATTTACCACTGAGCCACTCAGAGAACGTTCTTCAACATTTAAACGGCAAGCTATTTATATCTAACACTTACCGCTACTGTGTTTTCAGCATTACCTGAAAGTCGGCGCAATGAGCGTACGCCGCGACATCGCGCAGTGGCTCCTGCTCCAATCTCCTACGCGTACTTTGCCCGGCTTAGAGAAGGGGAGCGACGCTTCCTCACGCGCCCTTATCTCGCGGGGGTGAGAAGGAGAGGATCGTATGCCTTGGCTGGTTTCGGGCGGTACGTGGAACGATACTGCTGTAGTTACCGGACGCACAAAGGCCACTGCAATCATTGCAGTCTTCCTTTGTGAATATTGCGCGCTTCTCAGACTCAGTCAAGTAACAGATGGGACGCTTATTCGCGTGCATCCGTACCTGTGAGTACATTTCGTGCGTAATATGTGCGCGAGAAATGCGGGGCAAGTTTTGATCTGCTTTCCATTCTGCATGTGACCTTTC